GGCAGCTGCAACCCACAAGCCAGGCTCCAGAGAGGAGTCCTGTCACACCCAGCAGCCTTTCCTCCCCCCATTCCCATCCTACCATCACAAGTTCCTCCAGGTTGTCTCTGTCCATTCGTCTCGGCATGTGCTCTGCTCTGCTTCTGGTACCAACAGCACCCCAGCAGTGGCTTCCAGGGCCCAAACGTCTTCCTAGACGCCCAGTGTTCAGGATGAAGAGGGTATGACAGACAAACCCTGGAGCAGTACCTGGTAGAGGGCTGCTCTGTGTGGTTTTTAATTCACTGTAAGTAAATTGCAATAAATTTAGCACAGATGGGAAATGAGCCAAGCCATGCTGGACTGAATTCTGCATGTGCTTCTCTGCTCCACCCCATCAAGCCCCTCAGCCCTACAGCCCAGAGCGGCCTGGGCTCTGCGGACGAGTCACGGCTGCTCCCTGAATTGAAAGGAGCTGGAGGGAGCACAGGTTTTTTTGAGACCTTGAAAGTTTGACTACTCACTGTTCATGGACCTACATGGGATGGCTACCACTATGACCTACCACATGATGCTGAAGCAGAGCGAATGCTTGTATGAGCTCCTGCTTCCAAGAGAGTGGGCTCTAACTATTGAAACCAGTGGGGAACAGGCAAAATTAAACTGAACAATATTTTGGGCTTTTTCTCTTGCTAAATATGGAAACAGGGTTGCAGCTATTTAGCTTGAAAACCACTCCATCAGTGTTGTTTCCCACAAAGACAATATAATGGTCCTTGAGGGGCCAGGCCAAAATTAACCCCAGACAAAGCAGAGGGGGAGAGTCGAGTCTCCCGCCAGCCCCACGTCTCTGTGCGGCTCTATGGAAAGCAGCAGTCACGGCTGCCAGCCCCACTGCATGTCACCACCTTCTCCAGAGGTGGTTTGTGTTTGTGTTTCCTGCTTCAGAGCCAGGTCTCAGGAAATGATGGATTTACTGGTCACCCAGTGCCTCTGCCTTTCAGCAAAATGACTTGGGGGTGGATCAGTGCAAAGAGAGAGGTGGTGTTCTTCTAGTCAAGGCCAGACAAGAGATACTTCAGCCTCTGGTTGAAATCCTACTTTTCCTCTCTGAGCACATTTACTGTAAAAGTGTCAAAGACCAAGAATGTAAAAATGTGCTTACAGATAGCACAGCAGCTCCCAGGAGTGAGTTTCTGTAGTAAGGCTGCACAATTCCTGCCTATCCTTCAGGCCACGGCAGGAGCTGCTGTGGATATTCCTTTAACACACCATCCCTGATGGAAAATTAAGGTGATGAAGGGGGCTGAAAAGGTTTCAGCAAAGCCTCTTTCCTCCTCTTTCCCGACTCAGGTATTGAAAATTCTACAAGTCACCCAGCAAAGAGCCAGGTTTTGTAAAAACAAGGACTACACCACACTGCCCTGCTCTCTGGGAACCCACCTTGTGCCCCCAGAAATACAGTTTACCATTTTCCCTGTGCCATGTTGTTCTTATGGTCCTGCCAGTCGGAAGAAAGGTTGAAGTTAAAGAAAATTGGACCACGTATGCAAAAGTACAGGTGTGGGAGGGAGCAGAGAGGTGGGAATTCAGAACAAAAATTTGCTGCAGGGTCTGGCTGCCTGAGCACGGGTGGTGCTCACTGCCCCAGGACAAACCCCAGCTGCTGACTTGGCAAATAGCCTCCGCCAAGCCTCCGTGCCCCACTGCAGCACCCTGGGGACAGGCCAGAGCCAGCGTCGCCCAGCCTGGGAGGCACCAACAACAGCAGGGAGCACCAGCACGCCAGCCTGGATGGAGGCTGAAGAGCTTCACCCCTGCCTAGAACAAAGCTAACAGGGTTACGCACAGCCCTTCCTAGCAGCCAGGGAAGGGCTCTTCCCTTTGTGTGGAGGTTGCAGTGGGAAGGCAATGGCACGGGCATGCAAGGGTGGCACTGGGAGGGTGCAGTCCTGCCTGCACCTTGCACAGCAGTGGCCCTTGGCGGGCTGCAGCGAGCGCTGCCAAAGCGCTGGGGCAGAAAGGGTAAGAGGGCAGTCATCTCTGCAGCCTGCTGCTGCGAGAGGAAACGTCCCCTCCATCGGTCTGCAGCACGGACTCTTGCTGAAACAGGAGGCCTTGCCACACCTCGGTGGCCTTCCTTGTAATCAAAAGCTCCTTTCTTTCAAACTAATCTCCATTTTAATCTAGTACAAAAAAGCATTTTAGTCTTAGGGATTTCACTAAGCTGCCTATTCCAGCTCTAGCAACGCTGTGAACTTGACGACTCAAAAACGTGCTGAAGCAGAAGTCAGGTAGAAGGGATCAGTAACAATTTATCAAGAAAAGGTCAGCCCAGGAGAAGCACGAGGTTTCAATGAGATGCAAGAAACACAGTTTGAGGAAAGTACCATCACATTCCCGTTCCAGGAATCAAACATGTTATTTCAAACTCACGTGCTGCAAAATGGTGAAAGACAAAATCCCCCTATTATTCTTTCAGACTAGTTTGAACTTCCTATGATTTAACAAAGACATAATCATATCCGCAAAGACCCCAGGGTTCCTTATGAGCATCTTAAAAAGTAGGAATGAATCATTTCCTTGTATGACAATCAACTTTGTAATGTCATGATCTTGGACACAACAGTTGAAGAGTCAAAGACAAGCACTGAAAAGAAAATAAAAGCATTTAATGCAAAACATTTCACCAAAAGTTTTTACATCAATTTCATATAAATGGAGTCTTCTCTCAAAACACGAATCCACCAATATAAATGTATTGTTATAAAGCTGATTACAAAACTATCTCGTCATCCACATAGAGAGGTAGGGAGGGTCCTTCTGACATCTGAAATCATCCAGGGTGAACTGAAAACTAATGTTCAAGATCTAGCCTGTTACGTCTAAGTGATGGTAACACACATACAGTTTGGGATTAACATCTCACAGGCTGATAGATCTTTACCCCATAAGGCTTTATAAACTTCCTAATAAATTGTGGGTATGCAACAGAAATACATGAGATGCCTGTCAGCTATGTTAGATGGTTTTCTGTAAGCATGGGAGGACTGATGTCAGGGCAGACTACAGTGTGTGTTCTGCATGGAGGTGGCCTAGGGATCACTTAAAAAAAATAAAAAAAAAGAAAAAAAAAGAAAAACCAAGTTGTTTATGTTGTTGCTCAGCTGCTGCAGGCTGTAGTTTCTGGGACCCAAGGACAGGTCTGAATTGGTACATTCTGGGCCCTCTGGCTGCCCAGTGGCTCAGGGAAGGCCAGCCACTGGGAGGAGAACGTGGTGCAGCTACCCCAGGCTCCACACCCAGATTTCCTGCTTCCCAGGCTGTCAGAGACTTACACCAGGTACAGAGGGAGCTCTTTTTTGAGTAAACGAGGCCTTACGGAGACTGACAGCAGTCAGTCCAGCCAGGATCCCGGCAGGCCTGCAAAGAGCAAGAGACAGAACTGATCCTTGTTAAGAACTAGCAAAAGGCAGCTGGGGGGAGGGCAGGACAGGCTGGAGCCCTCTCCTCCCCTCCGCGAAGCGCCACAGCGGCACAGCAGCTTCCCCCACGCTCCTCCACTGCTTCACTCAGCAGGCTTGGCTCCTCTGGAAACGATCACCTGGAAAAGGAGCTCTCTGCTGCCTGCAGCGTCCTGCAAGGCTGGGCGCTGCCGGGTCTGCTGCCAGCCAAGCAGAGAGAGGCTCCAGCTAATCCCTAGCAGAGCCGGGCTGCCTGCTCCCCGCTTAGGGAAACAACAACAAAAAAGGCCTTCGAGGAAGATGCAGTGCGGGGAATGCAGCTCTCCAGAAAACAAAGCCACATTAACCAGCCTTAACAAAGCAACAGTTTTCTTCCTCAGTGTAAGGGCAGGGGGGTGCCCTCCCTCCCCAGGACAGACTGTCTTTCGGGCTCTGCAGGGACACGTGGGAGGCCGCGTTCTCTCCCTCTGCTGTGCTGCTCCAGTGCTAGTCTCGCCGCGCTGCTACCAGGAGCTGAAGTCCCCGAAGCCTGAGCTCCTCTTCTCCTTCTTCACAGCTGTGCTGGTTGAGGGCCCGTCATCCTCTGCGCTGCGCTTCCTGGAGCCAAAGGGAAAACAACTCTCAGGGGCTGTTTGCTGTTCGGTGGGACCAGGGCAGCTGGATGCCCTTCCTCTCCCAGTAACAGCTCCAAAGAGCCAGCCCATCTCTTCCCAGAGGGGTGGAGTGCTGTGCCAGCACCGGGACCACAGTGGGGGTGGGGACAGAGGCCTTTGGCACACTCAAAAATAGGGAGAGTGTGTCAATCTGTGGGGACAGTTTGGGTCAGGCTTTGAACACTTCCAGGAACATGTCCAAAACTCAGCAAGTTCTCCAGGCTAGAGCTGAAGGTATAACAACTGTACTTTTTTAGCACAGTCACGATGAAAATGTGAGCCACAGGTTCTCTCTGTGCCTTTTCACCTGCATTTCTGGTAGCAAAAGGATTTATGAGGCATTAGGTGTACGGCAGTGGGGCAAGGTTTTCAGATCCTTTCCTGTTTCTTGAGCACAGCCTGTGGCAGTCGCTGCTGCTGTTCTCAGCCTCTCTTGAGCAGAGTTTGCAACCCCATGGAAACACTGCTCAGCCAGCTCACGTGCTGTGGTTTTATTGTCAGATATCAGTAGCTGATAGGGAGAACCCTGAACTTGCCAAAGGGCTGCTACAGCCTAAACTCCAGTTTTGAGGCAGGCTGGAATGAGCGAAAGACTAGGAAAGAAAAGCCCTTTCTTGGGTCCTACTTGGATTTCTCCACAGAGCTGCAAACTCTGCCTGGGTTTCCTTTGTAAGTACCATGCAGAATTTCAGCAATTTTAAGGTGAACATAGTATTTTAAGGGATGGGCAATATTTCATAACTGAAACACTTAACTGACACACCAAACTGACCTATATGGGCTAGCATACTTTTGCTCTCACAGTTATGCAAATGCCTGTAAGTCACGCAGGCACACACAAGCTGATTAAATAGCTGACCGGATCTGCGTACGCATAAATATGCGCCCTCAGGCAGCAGACAGACAACAGCATTTTTGCAAATTCTTTTGGAGAAGTCTGCAAAAAAAATCAAGTGGAAGGCATTCATTTTAATCTATCCAAAACTCATGCAAAGCTGCCAGAGGTGGGATTCTATAGTGTCCTTAGGAGGGCAAGTGACGCTGCCAATGCCAGCGGGTGTACAGAGGGTGTCTGGGAGAGGACGCTTTACGACAAGCCTGCACAACCAGCCAGGCAGCCTGGAGCTACTCGCCAGACCCAAGCCTGGGAACCTGGCTCCCCTTTCCGGCCACTTCAGTTGTGCTGGTACAACTGTTTGTGCTGCTGAACAGGGAACCAGATCAGCACACTGACACGGGCTTAAGGCAACTACTTTGTGCAGGGGAGAAGCTGCTAAAAGAGAAACATCTATGGGACCATGGCCTTCAGAAATAGCTGCAGAAGAGGAAGAGAAAAAAAAGATGGTGCAGGAAGTGACACAGTACAGTTCCTTAAGGACTGTTGTGGAAATGTATCTACAGTTCTGAAGTCAGCACACTGACTGTTAAAAATCAGCTCGGTCACATTCAAGTGCTAAAAGAAAAGTTCAGTTAACTTGTAATTTTGTAGAGAAGGAGAGGGGACTCTTGACCGTTAGGACAAACCAATCATGTCAGCAAAGGCACTGGCTAGAGTCAGCATCCAGCAGGAAAGACAACTAAAACACTGTGCAAAGATCAGAGGGGCAGGGAACTCACGCTGCAGCCATGTTAATATATTTTCCAATTCCCTGCCGGTACGTTTTAGGAGTCTCAACTTCTTTCTTTGGTGGGACCACTTCAGCTTTTGTTTTGGCTGCTTCTTCTTCTAGCTTGACCTTCTCTCTTTCTGCAGCAACCTGTGGGAAGCAAAGAGTGCAATTTGTTGCAAGAGCTAATCCAGAGTACGGAGAAAATGTTTACAATTCTTTGGCTCTTTAAAGCACTGTAGAACAGCATTCAGCACTGCTATGATTACAGGGCGGGCTTCAGGAGACTGGCTTCACAGGCCACTACAAACAGGCTGTCTGCAGCCATTATAACAAGACTCCTCTTCTCACCTGCAGGTACCCATGGCTACTGTGGGCATTTCTAAAGGAAGCTGCTGTGTGATGGACTGGGAGCCATGACAGACTCAGCTACAAGACCTCTGCACCGAAAGAGTGGCAATGACCCTGGCACACCAAGCAAAGGCTGAAAGGCAGCTTTTTAATCTTAGCTTGTGGGCTGGGGGCCTGCCCATGTTCAAAGAAAACACATTATGTTACAAGCTTCTCCAAAGAAGAGCTTTGGCCTTCCAAAAAACCAGCCAGCCAACTATGCTCACCTGGGCATCTGCCTCTTCATATGGGTCAACAAAAACAGTTGTTGACTGAATTCGTATTTCCTCCTGGGAGCAGAAGAGAAGAAGAGCAAGTCAATCTGCTGTTTAAGTTGCACCATCTCCCCAAAGTTTGGCTTTCAGAGAAGCATCAGCAGGGTGAACTGCAATGCCATGGAAGGCCATATGTGCTCACCCCATGCTTGCACAGCCCCTGGTGCTTTACATGTACCTTGGGACGGTCTGTTTTTGGGTCACTTTCCACATTCTCCATAGCAGTCAGAGTCTCAAAGCCACCAACCACCCTAAAAGAGGAAGGACACGATTTCCAGCTGCCACAACACTCAACTCCTGCACTCCTACATCTAATGTATTTAACTTATGCCCATTTTTCTAGCAGTTTTTTAAACCATCGTGTTTGGAGGAAGGGGAATCACCAACTGTATTTAGAAAACATAAGATAATGTCATTCAGTGTGGAAGGTAAGAATTTTTTCTCAAGTCTGGAATTTGAATTTAAAATTAAACAGAACACGGAACAGTCAAACACTCAGCGGCAAAGCAAAGACATTTGTCCAAAAATCCAGTAGCCATACAAACTAGCAAGATGGAGAAGAAGCAACTGTGGACAGTCGTGTGCAAGAAGACACAAACCCATTTCAAAACGGGTACACTTGCTAATGCTACATCTATAAGTTTGGAGCTCATTTGTTACTCCCCCGAGCTTTGAAAAATAACCCAACAGACTTAGTCAAGAAAACAAATGTTTTCATTAACTTCTGATTTTTCACTTCCCCTCTCCCTCTAAGTTCGATGTTGGACCAAAGACTGATATTAGGAAGAAAGAGAATCGTAACTACAGCACTACTGGAGAGTTGCTCATAACAACACCAATAATGCAGAAGTGCAGGACTGCTCCAAAAGCACATCACAACCATGTGCTCGTGAGGGCTCTGTGAAACAGCAGAGCACTGGGACACTTTTCATTGCAGTTTTTATTTACAAGGATATAAGAACCCTGGCCTCTCAGTTTTCAGATCAACGTATCCAAATACTTGCTTCAAGATGTTTTAAGAAAGGCAGAAAACTTTCTGGACTGTTACATATCCATTTTAAAAAAAAGAAAAAGTGTGGAACAATGGGAAAGTTCCAGAAAAGGATATTTAGAAAGGATAAATGGGGTGACCCAGATAATTATAAGCTTGTCATCCTGGCATCTATCCCAGCAAAATAATGGAATAGCAGAGACAGGACATGATTAAGAAAGAAAGGAAATAAGTAATGGCAATCAACAAGGTTTTGTGAAAAACAGTCTGTCAAACAACCTTCTCTCTTTGAGATGACAGATGTGGTTAACAGGGATAACAGTGTCCATGGAACAGACTTCTGGATGGCGGCTCAGATTTTGATTGAGAAACCAGAATGATATGAGGTGAACACAGCACACATTAAATAAAATTGGCTGACAGGTGTCAAAATCTAATTTTAAATAGGAAACACTGAGTCAGTACATTTCCAGAGGGGTCCTGCTGGGATCAGATCTTGGTCCCAGGGCATTTAACACTTTTATCCACATCATCACCTCCAATTAAATTTGAAAACAGCTATACTTAGAAGAACAGTAAATAAAGATGAAGACAGGCTCTTGATGCAGAGCCATCCAGATCCCTCAGAAAAGCAGGCTGTAGCTGGCCAACATCTGTTTTAAGAGAGCCAAGCCACACAGCCAGGAACCAAAAATACAGCCCATTTTAATGGCTGCGGGACAAGGAGAAGCAAGTAATTTGTCCTGGAGCCAGAAGCTCAGCAGTGAGGGCAGGACCTAGCCATCCAAAATCCCAGGGCTGCAAACCCAAGAGCTAGCAACCCTCCAGCCTTCGTAGGGTGACAACTGTTTTATTTGGATTACTGGGACTCTGGTACCAGCACAGATAGGTTGTCAAGGGCTGTCCAGATGAAATGGCAAAAAAATCAAATTAAACGAAACTCGGGAGGGGAGAATCAACCTGGTGGAATATGTAGAGTGTTTCATCACCTCACTCTGCTCTCATATCAAAGAAATGAGCAATACCTCAACAAAAACAGACATCATATTCACAGGTATTTGATATATTTATACACTTCTACTATGATGTCTCATTATTGCAAGTGTTTTACAGCCAGGCAGCCCTCTCCAGTCTTGGCACGCCAGGCTCCCTGGCCAGTACCAGGAGAGGCCCATGGCCCTCAGCTGCAAGGGTCTCAGCTGATCCAACAGAGCAATACACCTTGTACTACCACTCCACCCCACACTGTTTACACACACTCTTCCCAAGAGCCACGTTAACCAAATTAAACAGGCTGACCACTGTGGTTTGAGAGGCATGTGGGTCCTTCTCATTTGACACCTCTTGTGCTTAGCATGGCACCACTGCCCCTCACTGCTGTCCCACAGGCTGGGACAGGCACCAAACAACTGAAAAGACAGAGCCCATCCCAGAAAATAAACCAATACAAGCCAGAGAGGGTGCTGCTGCTCAGCACCTGCCCTGAGCAGGGCCATCCTCGCTAACATTTCATTGCTGCTGCACTGCTCCAAACTCTTTCTCTTTACTCCCCAAGGGCCTGATGATATTCTGTAATCAGGTTGTGAATTTTAAGAGCAATTAAAAAACATGTATGCAGGCTAGAACAGCCTCTTTCATTTGAAACTAGAGTTAGTGCACTGGGGGAAGCTGTACAGGGCTTGAAGACCCTGCATGAACTTTGGAAAGTTCATAAGAGAAACTCAATTTTAAAATCCTCCAGGCCAATATCAGATTCACTTATAATACTGATGATTAACACACAGCGTATGATACGTTCACTGTATTTTAATTGCCCCTAAAGGAAACTTCTGATTTAATATTGGAGGATTTTCTAGCCAACAGCTCCACTCATTATCTGCTCATATGTTGTCATTTAATTAGGTTCTGATAATTTGAAATAGCCAGATCAGCTATGCACTGGCAATCTTAACTGAGTAATCCCTTAGCCCACGGCTAGACCTCCCACAATATTAGCCCTAATGCATTTTGGTGATGCTCATGAATCTTCAGTTGCTATGCCAGTTAAACTTTGTTTGGAATACTTTGTCACTTAGAGATTTTAAAAGGCTGTGATAGACATGGCATTCACAGGTCACCAGTAAGTGACCTAAATAGTCTATTTCAACAGGGTTATAAAGGGCTAAGGGGCGAGAAGACAAAGTTGTTATGCCTGCGGAGCATGTAATTCTCTGTTCTTCTTAGCTTCTCGTCTCTAAAATGGAAAATTGTTCTCTTTTACACCCCTGCATTCTCTAAAATTTTGCACCGAGAGTATCTCTATGGATATTACAATGTCAGCACCGTGAACTCTCAATACAGGCCCTGCAAAACACCAATAAAAAAATAAATGTGAATTTGAATACAAACCACCAACTCAGAGGAAGGAGATCTGACCAGCGGAACTGGAAATAATTTCTAGTCACTTTGGTCAAGAAGCACTTGGAATCTTTGTCAAGGATCAGGCCCAGCTGAGGCTGGCATTTCATCAGTAAAAAACTAAAATCCCAAAAGAAAAAGGTCTGATTGCAAACATCACCTGTCCAGTAAAAACTGAGTGCTACACTAATTAGGGCAGCCATGGACACGCTAATCAGGGCAGTCATGGCTGGATGCAGAAAAAAAAGGAATATTCCAACTTAAGGTCTCAAAGTGTAAAGGATTTTGCAAACTTTCCTCTGATTTTTCTAAGTAGAGAGATGATATACACACAGGCTCTCCAAACATGTGTTGTTATTGTCAAATCTCATGCTGTGGCATGGCTGCACTAAAATCAGTTTGACACAATATAAGGTGTCAAAGCCCACGCACTGCATCCATTAGAGCAGTTGCTCCTCACAGAATGAGGAAACCAACACTCTGGGGTAGTTTTAGAAATTCTTTGTCTGTCCCACAATACGTATTCTGGGTTTAAGAAAAAAAGCTCAGACATCTTGCCAAGAAAAAAGCCAAAAAGAGATAAAACCAGCTCACTGAATAAAGGTGAACCACAGCATAAGCAACTCTCTCTATCTTTTTCATTAAAACAAAATACAAACCACAGAAGTTCAGATGAATGTTCCTTTACACCCTTCACATGTGCCACGTGCGTTACACAGATGTGACAGGTCACACTGGGGACAGGTGACACCTCGTGTTACTTGTGCTAAGCTGAAGCACTTGTGGGGAAGGGAAAGAAGGGCAGAAACAAGTTTCCTTTCCTCTGTTTCTGGCTTGATTCCTTTTATAAGGTGCCACACATGCTTTGTCCTAAATTGACCAATTAAGGTTTCAACAGATGTTCAGATGACATCCTACAGTGAAAAGGATGATACCTTCAAGACATTATTTACATTAGAACCACCAGTGAAACTGAGGCTCTACTGTGTACTCCCAGGATTTGTTGAACAGAGAAATTATGATCTCAACTATATATTTAGCTCAGTATCACTGAAACAGCTTGTATTTTTAGAGGAGCTTGATAAATGTTGCATTACATTTAAGCATGGATGACAAGGTAGGTACACTTAGGAGTTTTTTGGTTAGCATAGTAATGAAAACAAAATGTGCCCTTACTCATGCAATTCTGTTTTCTTGAAAATTGAGCTAACTTAGCACTGGAAATCTTTGCATTTCAAATTTAGAGAAGTTATTTAAAATCTGAATTCCTGTTAAGGCTCCTTTATGCAAACTAGTAACCTTGCTTCATAACCACTGCCAGTGTCTTTGCCTGAAGGATTAGTGAAGTATTTGGAGGAAACTCTATCCATTTGCAATATACCAATTAAAGTCTAGCTGGACATGAGTGCTGCTCTCAAAGAAATCTGCAGCTCCCCAGTAGTGTCACAGACATTCACACACAGACTTCCTATTGCTCCTATTTTTGTTTATAAAAATTATAGGAATTAAGCCTTATGCCATGCTGGGGACAGTGATGCAGTTTCCTGTTCAGAAGATGATACAAAAACAACGTCTGAACTTTTTTTTAAAAAAAGCTTTAAACTAGAAACAGAAACCAGAGAGAAACATTGCTGTTTTGTAAACACATTCTGCCCTCAAGGTTATTTTTATAAAAAGAAGCACATACATTTATATACACACACAGAAAGAACAATATATACGTGCACAAACAAGTACACTCTGGACCAAATGTTTTCTATGTATACACCCAATCTGAAATAGAGCAAGCAATGTGAACTTGCAACAAGGACGCAGTTGGAACATCTCAACCTCTCATAAGGGCTTAATCTAGCAGGAGAGACATGGTAATGAAGGATATTGAAAAAAATAAAACAACTTGGAAAAAAGCATTTTGAAACTAGACTCAACAGATGAACTCGGCACATAAGGACTACCCTGCTTTGGCACAGGCTCCCCCTCAGACATCACACAACAGTCTGGAGAATGACAGCAGCCCTCGTGCAGTTCTGACAGCCCAGCCCTCCTGTGCTCCAGGACACCATGGCCAGGGCTTCTACAGTGAGGCCTAGTTTATTTTCCCACCTTGCTCTTTACTCCTATCCTGGTGTCTGGGGAGCAGAGGCTGCAGTGCAAAATTAGGTCAGGCTCCCTACACAGATTCAACAATGGAATCAGCTCTTCTGCTGTCACACAATTTCTCCGTTCTTTGGATGTATTAAAGCAGAAGAGCAACAAAAACCTGTGTTTCCCAGCCATTTGGGTGCATTGATTCAAATCATACAGGGAATGTCACACGTGGAAACAGACCCTGTGTATTATTTAACTGTACCTGGGTAATTGAGTAATGCCTGGTAGTTGTTTTATGTAGCTGATTACTTTAGAGGATGAGGTACTCTCATTGCCCCATTCTACAGAATTACAATAGAGAGCATTAAATAGGTTAGGAAATACTTGATGCAGAGTGATAGTGATGCAAGGAAAGAAAACTCTCTTCCACAAAACTATCTGGCATATTGAGGATGGAAGAGAAGACTAAGCTCAGTGTATGTCACCTACTAACCTGTGCCTCCAATCTGACCAAGCCTGAGGTTTCTCAGACCACCTTGTTCAGTATTTCCAGGAACCAGAGAACTGAACAATGAGTGGCAGAAACCTCAGTAGACAGTTAAAAGTTATCTGCAAAAGTAGATATGTGCAGCCACGTACAGAAGGGAAAACTGATTTTCCCATACACTCGGCTACTGTCTCAGTTGCCACATCCTCTTCTCAGTTCTTGACAAACACAAGTGATGCTCTAATAAACACAGAACTGCTGCACAGATCATTTCTAGCTTTGCCACTCTGACCACAACACTTTTTTCTCTGCTCCCTCTATTGTTCTTTTTGTCACACCACATACCTGCAATCTGTCTTCACTTTCAAGCCCACCATGCTCTGCTTGTCCTAAAACTCACACAAAATTTGGAGACAGCATTTCTCTCCTACTCTTGATCAGCATGGCTCTATCATCTTTGACTATTATTTTACACATGTACTTTTTCATGTGTCCCTCTAACTTTGGAACAGGCTCCCCCAAAACACTCACAAAGTAATTTCATTTTTTTCCTGAGGCTTTTTTTTGGTTCTGAAGAAAGTGCAAACTGTTGGTGGAAGGCAGGCTGAAAAGGGTCGTTGTTGCAATTTCCCTCTTCTATATGCAGTCTCTTTGCTGCTTAAACTGCTCTCTGGGACAGAGATTATGTTTCTATTTCTGCTTATAAAGGACAAATGGGCCAGTTCTCTGATCCACAGGACCTATGAACCACTGGAGTAATAGAAGGTATAGTAACAACATGAATGAGATGCGCTTGCTCCTCAATTTCATAAAGCACACCATACAGGAATGCGAGCCCATACTGGTGTTCTGGCTGTAACAGCCCTGTAGCTCACAAAGCTCACACAACAGTTGAACTCCTAGTTATAGCATGAGTCAGAGGAAGCCCCAGCCCATGACAGCAGCAGACAGAACCTCCCCCGTGTAGCAGTGCCCTGCAAATGCTTCTCATCCACTCACTCTGTACAGGGCAAATGCCCTGTTGGCATTTATATACATAATGTTGGTTAACATTATTTGAGTTTCGAAATTAAACCTCTTACCAGCAAGCTACAAGCCAACAAAAGCCACCAGTTAGTTTTCATGTTAATTACAGCATTCTATAAGTCAGGAGAAATGGTAATTACTAGAAATGGTAATTACTAATTTAAGCTTTGCAGCTCTGCTGAAGCAGGAAATCTGTGCAGCCTGCAAGACACCTCCAAAGGAAAGCATTCTTCTCTCACTCTCTACCTTTGTCTTTGCTCCCCATTCATGCCAAATCGTCTCCTTTATTTTCAGTAACATCTGTCCTCATTACTGCCATGGTGGGCAGGACAATCACAAGATGCCTTCCCTGTCCTCCAGCCGCAGCCTTCTCCTGAGGCTTGAAAATTCCAGTGCACTAAGCCAGATACGTGTCACCTCTTCAGAATCCCATTGCCTGCAGCTGCTCTGTTTTCCAAACATACTTAACAGCCAACCATCCAACATTAATAGCTTCTACTATGCAAAAATTGCGTTTCAAACCAGTGGGGACATGAATAAGATGCAGCTTCAGAGAAGGAACTTTTCAATGTTTCATCCCACACAGGACCAACAAAAAAGAAAGGGGTGGGGAATGGTTGCTCTTTCACTCTTTTTTATTCTCCAAAGCATGGAAAGCCTGCTGAAAAGTTCTATACAAATTAAAACAGGTCAAATTCTGCTTTCAAAGATACATATATGACACTTGCTAACACAAACCAGAGCTGCACATAGCTGAGGGTACTGTTAAGATCAGAGTATTTAGGTTTTTATATTAACTGAAATAAGTAATCCTTAACTCTGTATGAAAGTCACAACAGGCCAGTAAGCATCCAGTTAAGACAATCCAATTTAAAGTTAATGGAAACAAAGAATTCTCATTTCATGGGTTCATTCTATTCTTAAACCTAGATATTATTCCTAGATATGCTTCCTAGACATTATTGTGTTATACAGTCCAAGATCAGATACAGTCACCAAAACTCGGAAACACCCAGGATCTAAAATAGCAAACTGAAGCTGGAGTTTCACTAGAGATACAATCTCTGGAATCTTTTTGGTTTTTAAGGCTTTTAAAAACAAATGCAGGTACAAACAGCTAAAGGATTTTGATGATAGAATATAGATCTTAAGAGCTGCACACGTCATCCTTTTATATTAAATTTGTAGGTAAATGCAATTATTCAAGTATTCCATTAGCAGATTAATACAGAGTTACTCGAATGCATCTACCCCAGCATTTTAATTTTCTACATTCTTTGGATTAATCTTCATCTACGTGCAAAAGAGTACTGAGTAAAATTCACATGCTCTGTGTTCACATGAAAATGTTACTCAGGGAGCCAAATATGATTCTAAACTAACATTTTAATAAAGTTTTTCTTTTGTATTTCGGCTAAGAATATTTGCAGCGCTGAGAAAACAGCACCATTTCTTTACTCTGGCAACTAAGTTCAGATTTCTCTAGCACCAAGGATAATTAAAAAATTAAGCCAGTCTTTGTTAAAATTGCATATATCTCTGCTATATACACACTTAATCAGATCCACTTCTGCCAAAGTAACTCCTTTCTAAAGGGCAATGTATAGTGGGATACAGCATTTGAGTCATTTTGCTCAAAATGTACTTGAGACATTACACAGAGTGTGAAGGCTTTTGAGAACATGCTCCCTGCATGGCAGTAAGCTCAGCTACTCTCTAAATCTTTTCTTGGTGAATTATAGTAAAACTGGAGCATGCTGGGGAAACACAGCAAAGACAGAGGTAGACTGTACAGGATGTTGTCAGAAGCCAGGTTGCATCCAGAACTGAAGAACAGTCCCATTTTCAGCAGAGCTGTCCTAACCCAAATACTACTTGATGAGGTGTCAAGCTCACGTTAACATCATTACCTTATGGGATTTAATGGGATTTTTGCAAGGAGGGCTCAAACTGTAACTTTACTGAGACAGTCTTAAGATATGGGTAACTCCTCCAACAATATACTTGCTTTCTGTATTAGGATGTGCTTTATTTATCTGCTTTCACCAAATGACAAAGGAACTTTAAATTTTTCCATGACAGACCGAATAAACAAAAAATAAATATATTTCAAAGGGTGCACTGTGCATTCAAAACAAAGCAAATTTCTGTCTCAACAACTCAGAAGCAGAGAAGATGAATTAAATATATGACTTTAATTGTACAGCACAACTGTATGACATACAATCAAAGTAAACAGCACATGCATTTATATTCAATTGCTGCCTTTCAAATGGATAAAACTGTGAAAATAAAAAAAACCCCTTCCTTTAAAAAATATTGCAAAATCCTCAGATCCTACCAATGAAATAGGCTACCAATCAAGTAAAATTCCCCTTCCTGCCATTTGCACTGAGGCATTTGTTAGAACAGCTATGCATGACTTGGTAAATACTGTGAACCTGCAGCAGAGGAAGCAAAGGACAAACTGTAACATAAAGACTTTGTAGTATCTTCTGTACTAAATATTGTGGTCTTTATCATGTGAGGGTTTGACTAGAAAAGACTTACACTGAAGAGTACTTCAGAAAGAGTGAAGGTCCCTTTCTGTCTTGGCATCAGTAATATCTTTATATATATACAGATAAACATGTATGTATGTACACACACATGTGCCCACAAACATACAGATTTTATAGTGTAATCGTAAGGAATAAAATAAAATAGAATAAAAAACAGTATGAGGAGCCAAAAGATCTAGCCTATGCAGAAGCTGTATGTTCTATGCATGAAGAACAGCCCTGTCATGACTGATTTTCCGGCTCATAAGGGGATGAAAGCAGTGCTGAAGAGTCTCGTGTTCCAGCAATTAATATGCACAAATATTAGCATGGCTAGTTACAGGATGATGATTACTTTGTTCATGACTCCCTGGAGGGCCACCCACAGAAGGGAAGTAAGGCAACTTACAGTGATGGAAGGAGGAAAAAAAGGCAGAGTCTGACGACTGGCACTGATGTGATGTTGGCCACCTACTCATGAGCAGCAGAACCAATCGTGAGCTAGGATTTTCCTCTAGTTGAACTGCAAGCATCACTAGATTCTTTAGGCTTCAGAGACAGAGGACAGCACGTCTGCTGCACTGCTGCTCACAACATCCTTCACTTACCTTCCAAAAACTGTGTGCTTCTTGTCCAGATATGCACAAGAGCGGAATGTGATGAAGCTGGAATGAATAAAGACATAACAGCATATTATCTAATTGACACTCAACAACAGCCAGTAATGCTTAAAACCAGAAAGTGTATGCAAAAGCTCTCCAAGGGAAAATAATCCCTTCTCCCTCTCTGGCTCCTCTCTGGGAGGCCTGCCGCCCAAACATCCTTTAACTCCTCTGTTTTGTGCTTTTCAGATTGGATTTCCGAGTTCTGACTTCTCCGTTTTACACCTTACTAACATCTCTAAACAGTACTCCAAGTATCCAAAATTAATCTGAGCATCTGTCTGCTTGGCCAGGCAGTCCCTGGGAAGCTCATGCAGGACAGGGAATTGTGCATCCTGCTTGAGAAGTACATTTCTTGTGTGTTATTCGGAGCTTGTATCCAGCAAATACAGTTATGTAACACAACAGTCCTGCCAGTGTAAACTTTTGTCTTTTAGGATATTTACTTTTTGCATTTCTCTTCCATTAAATTGGCCTGTCAGTGATCTGTTTCTCCTCTGGACACAGAAAATCTGTGCTTTGCATACAAACATGGCAGAAGAATACTTCAAGGCATCAAAAATAATGAAAATCTGTGAAACTTGGGATATTTTTAACTAATTTGACTTCTAATTTTTAATTAATTGGAATTTAATTTTGAGGGCTGTCATTTTAAACTTATACATGGGAACTAAAATACTGAATTCAAAGCAACCTTTCCTACTGAAACTTTTCTCTTAAGCTTAAGGCTTCTTTGGAAGATTTGGACTATGAGCGTATGAGACAGAGGTTTTCACGCTGTAGTCTGCAGACCATGATGGCCCATCTTGGCTGGACATGCAGTGCTGGCTCTCCTCCCTGTCTCCATCTGTTACATTACATTAGAGACAGCTAAAAATATATAAGCATTCCAAAAGCACTTTTCCATATAAGCAACTGCCTCAGGAAGTTATATGATTGCAAATAGGAGAGGCTGCAATCTGTCAGACAATCTATTAAGACGTAGCTTGCCCTAGGAAAGCTTTGAGATGCTGTGCAGAATGCAAACTCCTACACAGGGCAAACACTACAGCTTAGCCTTGTGCATGAGTTCTTTGCACCGTTTTATTCCCAGATATCCAATACTTAAGATTATCAAGTGGTCAGTTATGTAGCATGGTAATAAAACAAAAAAATCTGAGCAGTAGCAAATACAGCAGAGAAAGGTTATCATCCATCACTGCAGTCAAAATAAAGTAAGGACAATGGAATTAACATAACTCAGGATGATCCTGGAGAAGTCCTGAGCATTATCCAAACATCACCTTGCACAGCTCACTCTGCACTGCAGTGCCTATCATGTATGGGGAGAGCTATTCACCCAGTTCCTACGGTCACAACAGCTGCCAGAAGTGTCTAAACACTGCCTAGGAAGCTTTATAAATGTGGGCAGCTGGAGTCTCTCAAGAACTTCACATACAAAGGAATTTCATACTTTATTTGCAAATTTTAGGCAAACGTACAATCACATTCATGGCAGCAGATGATGTGACTCAATATGGCACATCACTCAGGAACAGGCTCTGTAACTTCTGTATCTAGAATCCCTCTTTGTCTTAAAAAAAAAAAAAAAAGAACCTCTACTCTCCCCCAGTTTAGCACCTCAGTGTTGGCAATAATGTTCAAACCCAAAATAAGCTCTACAGCAACTTAATCCTGCAAACTGCCCAACATGCTTAGTCTTAAGTATGTGAGTAAGCCTATTAAAGGCCTTGAGACAAGCACTTGAGTTTAATTAAAGCTAACCACAATACTGCATAGTTTACAAGCCATAATAATACTTAGCATCATGAAGACCAACATCATGAACCCCCTGCCTCCCTCCCTCCTTGGTCCCAACAGACAGTACTGTACACACACACATTCTCTCTCTCTCTCTCTTTCCTGAGGTTTCCAATAAAAGTACAACTTTTTTTTCTACTGCAGCACTGAGCAACCAATAAGTAATTGGCTCAGAGTGACAGAATATTTTCAAAAGACTGCAGACAAACGTCCATGCTAATGCTACATAAAAAGAAGGTTATTATAACTCTAATACCTTTAAATGTCATTTCTTGCTTTTCCTGCTTCTTCATTCATTTTTTTCCTAATTTTAGTCCTCATTCTGCTTTTTGTAGAAAATAATTTATTTTCCGAGATTCTGCACTCCATGTCTGGGTTCTACACATTTCAACAGTGCAGAAGTCTTCTCAATTATTTAAAATTGGGTGTAAAAAGAAGCAACATTTCCATAGATTCTATGTTCCATTTCATTAAGCCCTTTCCAAAAGTTCAATACAGGGCTAAATTGAATCAGAGTGGAGAGATGTAATGATCTTACAGGGGTAACACTGGGTGGACATTGACAAAAAATGAACCAAAACTTCCAAACATAAAACCAGAAAAGACAAGTTAATGATGATACAATAAACCTACAGGTCTTCTTTTTGTGCTTCACTTTGCTGTTAGCTTGGGTAACAGCAGCTGCAGTTAACCTGGTTTCAATATGTAGCACTCAAAAGAACATTTCACTTGACTGAACTTTAAACAGTAGCTTGTAAAATGTCATTTGTTTTCTTAACAGATTAAGACACAATGTCTAGAGGGAAACAATAAAACACAAAAAGCAAATGACTACTTACAACTGTGATTTGTTTGTGTTGGGTCCCGAATTGGCCATACTAAGGACGCCACGGCCCGTGTGGGACAAATTTGGCTTAAATTCATCTTTGAAAGGTTTTCCCCAGTAAGATTCTCCTCCTTAAAAGAGAAAGGATGATAGAAGAGATGTTTGTTTGCATTAGTTTCCCACTACATTTTATAACAGGCAGTGACATTAAATAAACTCAAGGTTTCTGGCACTTCTGATCACTATGTGTATAATATATTCTTACCTTATTGTTACCACTAGGTTGGTATTTGTGAATGCCCTTGAAATCAATGTTTGTAACTGGCAACACAATTCTGTGCCCCTACACTATCAACTGCAACAGACCAGGCTTTTTATCAACGGTATTATATATTGTGTGCTGAAAAACTGTCAAGGATTTCATTTTTTACTGCTAGTCCACCATGATTTTTCTTTTTTGAGACATTAAATCTTTGAAAGTGGCTTCCTGACCAAACAGAGGACAGAATCACTAGTTTAACTGCACTTTAGATATAGCATTGCTTCTGGAAATAAAACAAGGAGATGAAATATGTTCATAGAATCAAGAATAGGAGCTATAAGCTGAAATGCTTAATTCCTGGATAAACAATGAAAAATGGCAATATATTTGGCCTGGATACCTGGGTGATGGAAATACATAAATGCAATGAAATCGAAAAGCCAATAAAACTGTGCACAAGATACAGACCCAGCCCTCCAAATCAGATTTCTTTCCTGTGTATGTGGATAGAAAGAGGGTCTGGAAGACCTCTCCTCCTGGCTGTCATTTTTACATTATTTATGATAGATTTGACATTTTCATTTGCACTTTCCTCCTGGATTATTCTTAACATGAAAAAAGAAGGCTGAGGATGAGTCACAGTTTCATAGTCAAATCCATAATCTTCTTTGACAAACCATGAAAAACTATTTCACCTTAGGATAGTATTAAAAATAAACCAAATAAAACCATCCAAATAGGCAGCAAGACTGGTCTATCTGCAGAATTGACTCAAGAATCCTCTAGAGTAACTGTATCACTTGCAAAGCAGGAGGTCAGTAAAGCACCTGCAGTGCTCAATGGCTATTTGCACATGTAATACAGAAAACCAAATTGATGATATGACTGCACAGGCAAGCAGCAGATAAAACTGAGGAACAAACCAAGATCCTACTGAAAACCTTATGCAGAAAATTACAGGAGTGCATCATATGAGAAAAAAGTTTCAGATGATACCACAAAAACAAAGAATCACGCGTGAACAGATACAAGTAGAACTCTCTAAACAAGAAATTTTGGAAGAAACTGACCCACTTAAAAACCCAATTAATCATGTTCAAAAAAAATATTAATAGAGTTGGGTGTTGCCTGCTCTGCAATTTGACAAGACGCAGCAAAAAGGGACAAGCCCTGTAGGGATTTTCTGTATTCAGGAGTAGAGGAGTGATTACTTCAGCAGTCTCTGGCCACTGAATCATTTAAAATCAGCTAAATTACATTAGCTTGACCTCATAGGCCAATCTCTTCCAGTAGTGGGTGAAAGGGATATGGGACACCTGCAGCCAGCTCTACTGTCTTGAAGATGGATCCAAACCCAGCTATTTTGGCCAAATCCAAAGAATTCAACCTCTTAGAAAATATACCAGAAGCCGGTAATTTCCTTTGCTAATGAATCTCCTTGTGTGTTCCTGTTTGCTAAGAGGGGTTACTTGTTTGGTGCCTGCTACCTACCTTGTTCAGAAAAATGAAGTTCTTGTAGGTTGGTAAATAAAAAAGTTACACTTAGAATACGTGGAGGCTCCATGCCAACAGGGGCTGCTCAAAGCCAGAAACACACTTGCAAAGCCTCAGACCCTCTGCCTAGCAACAGCTCTGTGCTCTGTGCATTATTTCTCTTGCCTTCTTCCCTCTTCAGAATTTTCACCTTCCACTTGCCTGGTGGGGCAGCACCAGGGCTGGGCTCCCTGCCTGCACCACCACGCCGCTCTGTGGCCGTTGGCCAGGCCCCGCATTTCTGTGCTCCATGGCTGGAGTAACAAACTCCACTGGGAATTCCCTTAGAGAAATACGTAATTTTGCTTCAAAGGATCTCTTGAAGGAAATCCTCATTATTTGTAAAGTAGATGCACTTCCTTTGAGTCCTAACCTAGAGGAGTGTTTGCTGTCTAAAAATTTAGATGATATGGAAACATGAATGCAGCCCATTGAGATGGTACCTAGTAGCAAGTGGCCAAACCCTTGACTCTGTTACACCCTTCATACGCTTTCAGCTGATGCTGGAATTACAGTGTTGTCAAGCTCCTGCAAGAGAGTGGAATCAACCCTGAAGCTTTTGCTGGTCAGAAAAATAATTCAAAAGGACAGAGAAAAATTGTGAATGACAGAGACACTCTCTCTTCCTGGCACAACAAGCAGTCATATCCAATAGCTTGCAGACAGGAGCAGTGAGCCATGATCTTTAGGTTTTGGAGTATTTACTTTTGTATGATTTCATTTCAGATCCCACACCGCAGATCAGAATTAATCTCCTGTGTATGAAGGCTAACTTTGCTTCATTCCATCTCTCTGGCAGTAAGTGCCAGTATTTCAGTAGAGAGGTACAGCATGAGATCCAGCCCCTGCCTCCCTCTCTCTCTGCCATACAGCTGTTTCCAAGGCTACTTCTGTCTGCCCAGGAGCTGCAGCAAGAACAGAGAGTGGCCTGTGCAGCACTTGCCTAAAAGGCCAGACGGCCTATAAAGGACAGAGCTGAAGTGCCTGCGGGGGCCCGGCAGCACCGACTGGCACGGGCTGGGGCAGATGCTGCAGAGGCAGCGAGACAGCAGTACAGGGACAACTGGGGAGGGGAGGGGTTCATTTTTTTAAGGAAAACCCCTAAATTTTAGACTTCAGAATACTTTAAAAAAAACTAACCAACCCCAAACCCCCCAAATGTATTTTCCTTAAATAAACATAGCCTGAACGTGCTGTCAAAATCCTGCTATGCTCTGGTATTGTTCCACGCTCCCAGTATCTGCTTGAAGCAGGACCAGAGAGGGCAAGTGAGAAGATGGTGTGTTAGATGTATACATTTTTTTAATTACTGAAAACAGAATTACTTTCTCTCTGAAGATTAAGTACAGATCCTTTGTTAGTCTACTGCCATGACAGCACAATGCTCAGCCAGGGAGTCTGGAACAGGGATTTTAGATCCTCACGTCTTGCTCTCTATGGTAGGGCTAAATGTAAGCTTGGAAAAATAATTCAAAGGCTCCAAACCTATCACTAATAATTAGCAGGCAATGAGAAGTAACTAAGAGGTTTTAATGTGTTTATTCTCAACACTGTGGGGAGGTGTGGCTGTGCCATCTTTGTCATTTTCTGGAAGCAGAATGGATACAGACAGAAGAGGTGGGACTATAGCACTGTCTGGCTTTAGCCCTCTCATGTTACACTCCCAGTATATGCCATAGAGAGGAGGCTCCTCCTTATATTCCCCAAATCACCCTCTGAGAGGACACAGATCACTGCTGACTATATATGGATTCATAGTGATGCAAAACCTCACCCTGAGGTTGGCGTACCAGCCCCCAAGCAACGCCCATGGCCAGCAAGAATTGACTCTGGGTGTTAGATTCACAGCGGGCAGCACTGCCTGTCACTTCACCTTCCTCTCAGCTTACTCCCTGATAAGATTATCTTCTGTCACACTGGAGCTTTGTGCCTACTGGACTTGCAAATGTTTCTGTGATCCTATTACAAAAAGTGCTGGAAAATTTTGGGCTAAAAAACAGAGGGGTTGACAGAGCAGCAGACATGGCCCCACGCGGTGCTGCCACCGGCTGGATAGGCGCAAAAGGGATCAGTACCCTGAACATGGGAGTCTCCTGTCTGCACAAAGCTGGAAATGTACTTGGGATCAGCCATGGAAATACACTGGCCTTCTAACAGCATATAACCTGTACAATATCAAAGTTTCAGGAGCCAGAAGGAGTTTTTGCACAGTTCTGTAAAATAAAGATCACATGCCTACCCACATACCCAAGATGCAAAGCTGAAGGCAGCTGGGAGCCACTTCCACAGATTTTTTTTAAAAAAAGAGAAAGATTTTCTTAAATTTAAGATGTGTTTAGCTTAATTCTCACACAGAGATGAAACCAAACAGACCACACAGCTCACAGAAAAAAATTAGACTGCATTCATCAGTTCCATGGCTATCCAGAACAGCATGATATATTTAGCTTGTAACTGAAGCACAGTTAGTCAGCCTCATATCTGCATCTTATGCTGGGAGTGAAAAGGTGAATAGATCTGAACTGACATCTAAAGCAATCACACATTAGCACTATACAGAAAAAAGCCACGTTGTCCTTTGAACTAAAACAGCTTACTCTTTGGTAGTCTTTGCTGCTTTTAAAGGCATTTTTTTCAGAAAGTAATTTTTTTGGGGTGAAATTACAGAAGCTGTACAACTTTCTTGCTAAGAGATGCACCTAAAGCTTCAGAAATATAGCATTCCAAAAGCCAGGTGTGGGCTGGGAATCATCATTCATGACAGTTCTGATTTAAAATAAATCCTTCCTTTTTCTGGCATAAAAATTGTTAAGCAGTGGTAAGGAAGTGGGAGGGCTCTGATTCACAAAAATGATGGCTTACTTTCTGTAATTTTCTTCTTGTCATTTGGAAGAACGAGGTACATAATAACATCTGACACTTCTCTACAGCTTTCCAAGTGAGATTCTTGAATCATTTTGCAAATATGAAAGCCTTAGCTCAGCCAGTAAGTGCTTCTCTCCCTTCAAAGAGGTAGTTTAACCCCACGTATCAGAGACTGGATTTTCAGAGGGGCTGCAGTCTAAAAGGAGTATATTGCTAGATAGAAAGGTCTTGCCCTTGTCCTTTGGGTGAGCTTCAATCATGCAGGAAAAGGGGCTCTAAAACTGGTTACATTTTAGGAACTCCCCTTGCAGAACTAATCAGGTTTGTCCACAGTCCCTTGCTATGGACAGTTCAGAGCAGCTCTGCTCGTTGGCAACCAAAATGCAATTCCCATCTACCAGTGGTATTTTATCTTGGACTTCTGCAGCTATTATATACCTCCTTTGTGCCCTCCTGGATTCACAAAGGACAGAGGCACACACAAGCTGATTCACGAGACCTTCCAACACGTTGCAGGTAAGAGTAGCTGGAAAATGCCTGTACCACTTTGAAAATGTGAAGCTTTTTGTATTTTCCCTTTCTCATACAAAGGGTTTAGGATATTAAAGCTACTTTCCCTATGTGCAAATTTTCTTTTATTACGTGGAACACTGAAAATACATAGCAGCTGCTCCACTTGCACTAGCATGTGTTAGAATTACTCACAGTGTTCAACCACATAGTTGTTATGAACAGCAGGAAAAGAGATACATCACAAATCTAAAATTCATTTTCAGATAATTAATCATTACAAAGAATGACCATGACTCAGCTTATTGCTCTGAATACTGCCTCTATGGGTGGTTACTTTGTTAGAAGAGAAATAAGCTGCTGCAGCACAATAAAATTTCTCCCAATAGTCTTATGAAACATTAAGTTGAAGGCTGGAGAAAATTAGTTTGGTCCTCTAAATCAGTGTCAGCCTTACAGGTCTATAATATCTGACTGCTTTGGCAATGCAGGTCTGCTAGCTAAGCTAAGGTAAAACTGTATTCTCTACTCTTCCCAGTGCTCTATCTCAACTTCTAGGTGCCATAAATGCTAATTTCCACCGTCCTCCATCTCAAGGTTAACTTCTGAGTAACAGGAATCAGTTGCCCTTCATGTGTCTGCTGGGTCCCAGTTACTTTTATGACAGCCTACCAAGAGACTCAAAAAGGACATGCTGAGATGTTGGATACCAAATAGAAAAGATACAAGAATCGTTGCTGTTTCCAGAAAGGACTGTTCAGCCAGAGTAGCTGTGGAAGTGGACAGTCAGTGACAACCAGTTTGGCATTCTGCATCTGTGAAATGTTTTCAAAACACAGGCACATTTATCTAGGTGAGTCAAAAGCACAGTTGCAGTCTGTGTATGTGTAACATGTAACCTTACGTCATGTTGTACTGAATGTGCCCAAATCCATCTAGAAGCCCAACAGTCCTGGGCTTAGTTAGCAATGGAGTGGGTGATCATCTAAGCATTTGGGTGTTGCAACCATAAACCAAACACCTGTTGCTGAACATGGGATGAATGTCAGATGACAGAAACCAAATGGTGGGAAGATTTTTGAACAAGTCTGTTCCAGTTCCTGAGCTGATGAACAGGAATAATTAAATAAGTGTAACAAACCAAAAGTATACACAGGCTTAATGCACCTTCCACATATCAAAAGGTGTGGTTTCTTTTTTTTAAACAAATAAACAATCGAACAAAAATTAATCTCAAACCTATTAGTCAGAAAATTTCAGTTAAAGCAGAAGGTTCCACTTGGAAGAAGAAACAAAAGATGTCATTTTTCTCTTAAGTCTTCCTACAAAAGGCTCTAACAGAAACAATTCTGGCAGTTTAAAATACTAATATTTAAAAGGTAACCTCCAAATTGTCTTTCCCATTGCCAGCTGAACTATCTGGGAAGAAAGCCCTGTTCTACTCTCATATGCTTCTCTGATTGTATGGAAGTCATGTTATTTACTCCTCCTGTAAACTTAAAAAGACCAGCAAATCTTATGGACTTTTTGGCTTTCAAAGATGCATCTTTGAATTTTTCTTTTTGTAAGCAGCAGTGATTCAAAGTAATACTGAAATTCCTTCCAGCTGCTAGAGGAAATAAAGGGAATTTATACTGCAAACAACATACAAGACCCAAGGAAAAAAGGCACAAACTACTAAATCCCAGTGCTTTACTCCAAAGCTTCCTAACATGAATGCTTGTGATGACATTAATAATGTGCAAACCAAGGACCAAAATTTTGACACATGGGAGCCTAGGAGAGCATTACTACATTTGCCCTGTTTTTATGCTGCTGCTGAGATGCACCTTCCTCTGGCCACGCTGCAGCAGAGAGAACATCACACCAGACAGGCACCTTAGGTCTGGCCACCTTCTTGCAGCATGTGGCTCAAGATTCACAAGTGAAATTTCTGCCTCACATTCAAGTGCCCAGGATCTACCAGGGAGTGAGGAACAAAACCTGACACACTACATCCAAACTGTGAACTAAGTGGCTTCATTTAAGTAGGCATTAAACACAAAAGCATGATAGTTTGAGAGAAATCTAGTTGCCCCCCAGGCTGTCCATTTACATTTTCTTGCAGTATTATTGTTGCAGTTGCAAAGAAGATAGTTGCATCGTTTGGACTCCACCATAATTGCAAACAGTCTCTAAAAATCTGCAACACTCCTATTTGAGTGCACACTGTTCATTTCATTAGAACTTTATAGTCTTGACAGATGCTTGTAGGACATCTTGTCTGCAATATATTCATATTTAATTAAGAATGACAAGGAGGAAAACAAGATGGAAAAGACCAGAGGTCATTAGACTCCTTTTTTTAAATAGAAGAATATACATAGGAGGTTCCTTCTCCTGTGGGCTTATTTGCATTTTACTTCCTACTTGCTTTGCCAGTTGAGCTGCGTCTTGACCTTCAATGCAGCTACACTGCCAGTCCACTGCCAGCTGTTAACTGTGCTCTTACAATACTACTTCTACCATTTGCACTGAGACATGAATGACACCAGCAAGTTAATTTTCATTCCACAGCAGGACCTGAACTCTACCATACAAGGGTGAAAGGTATCTGAGTCAACTCATTAAATTTCTCCCATCTCTTGACAACTCTTTAATTTCTCTTTTTAAGAGATGTTCCCAATAATGTCTTTTGGGATTTGAACGAAAACTTTCCTTATAACAAAATTAAATTATATTTCTTTTGACAGTGCAAGCATATATAGTGACAATTCCTTATAATGGGCTTTTGCCATCAAAACACAGAACCTTTAACTAGTCTCAGATCTTAAGAGTATGCAGCTGTTGATTATACCATGCAGTAGAAGAAAAGCTCTTAGGTAACTCACACTAACATTATTTAAAAAAAAATAAATAGAGCTAAAGTATTTAATAACTACAAAGACATCTTTTTTTGGATGACCTGTGAGCACACGCAAAAGAATATAGTGCTTGCATATACAAGTGACACACGTATGAACTAGAATAAAAATACACAGAACCCCCCACAGGACAGGGAGAGGAGCTGTGGAGGCTGGTGACATCTACAAGTGGGTAGATAAAAAAGTGCAAGTGGAAAATGAGCAAATTCACAGCAGCAACTAGAGATATTACATGACGTATTGATTGTGGTGGGCAAGGTCTCCTGACCATTACTGATACAACTGCAGTGCAAATCTCCAAGTAAGGAAGAAAGAACAGGCAGAAGAATTTAGTAACAGTGATCCCTAAAGGTTCGAAAAAGAGTAGCTTGGGCTTTGCAAAGCAACTAGCTGGGAGAACAGATGGTAGCTGGCCATTCACCAATTCCAAGGCAGGTCTCAAGTATTTCATTAACGCTGAATTTTAAAGCAACTTTGCGTGAATGTGTTTCTTCCTTTGTTCTTTGCTCTTGAAGGCCAGCCATAAAATTGTTACAATTTTCACTTATTTATTTTCTGAAGGAAAAAGGAAGCAAACACCCAACAAGAATTCTGCGTGGAAAAGTGCCCAAGTTTTAGACTGAGAATATATTGGATGAAAATTTGAGCATAGTTAAAATGGTCATAAAAATACAGTGATAAAATCTCTGCTTTCAAGTAGAAGTACTCACAATGTACCACATATCATTTAGAGAATTTTAATCTAGAAAGTGTCTGGAAATAAATGTAAAAACACAGTGCATGAAGTGAAAACATTTTACTTGATTTAAACTCAACCTTACCAGTTCCTGTTCCTGTTGGATCACCTCCTTGGATCTGCAGAATTAAAATTAAATCAATAGGTTACATATATATATCTGTGTGAAAGATATTAAATACAAGCCATAAAGGTCCCTTCTGCTCAATTTTCTTCCTTCTATATTGTGTCATGTTGACAAGTTAGCAACAAGGAAACCATTACTACTTATTTGGAGCTTCTTTTATCAGCTGGCTGTCATCTGCTACATTACTTATCCAAGAGCAGAATGACAGTTTTATAAAAATAATAGGTCTCTTGTGAGTAAATAGGGAAAATAAACAGTCTCAAATGGTTTAACCAGATCACCCTTTCTATTATGTGCTGAGTCATAACCTGCTTTTTAAGTGATGATGCATTGCTTTTGGAAGTGAAAAGGCTTTATTTTGCTACCCATTCTTCATATGATGGGAAGGCAAGAAATGAGTGGGTATGGAATATTTTCTGTATCTGAATTTGTATTTCTTAGTATCCCCCTCACTATCTGCAGTAAGGAAAATCCTCATGTGAAACAAATCATTCAGCAACAAAATTAATCATTGCATATACATGCAGGATCCATGGAAATAATATTCTGTATTCTCATGCCCATGGAGGGAGCGTGATGTGACTAGTTTCACAGTAATAGCACACAAGCACAATTTTAATTCTGAGTTTAAGTACGAACTGAGATATACTGTGCTGTCAAAAGAAAAGAAAAGAAAACAAAACAAAACCCAAATAAAATGTTTTTAGGATGACAGGATGGAATGTAACATTCAGTGATGTTCCCTGAAACGTGTGCTATGCCTTCAGGATCAGATTAGTAATTCTTCTGAAGGGACATTACAGGACAGCTACAATATCCTTAGCTGCCTGGACAGTACTTGTGTAAATAAAAATGTTTCACTACCAGAGTCAACTTTCTGGTTCACTAGGTGCTCTTTAATGTCTCCAACAAAGAAGCCTGGGCACCTAGTCCTGGGGCACACTCAAGAAAGAATGATCTGACAGTACGCAAGTACTACAGACTGAAACAGAAATTCAAGCTTTCTAAAATTTCATCTGAATGGGGTTTCACCAGGCCACAGTATTCCTTATCTAAATTAGCATTTCCCCCCCCCCCCTTCTGTTCATTAACCACCCACCTACAGCCTGGAAAAGATAACAAGAGCCTTGCCAAGGCAATGACTTTCAAAGGCTTTGTCTGGAATGCCAGCAAAAGCACTACTAAATGCAGTGATGCTCCAGGTGACAATACTAGTCTCACTAACAGTTGTCTCTGACTAATAAGTACAAATTTAGCAAATCAGGACAATCCTAGTTTTGATGATACATTTAATGCATGGAAAAAGCTAAAACTGAATTAAGCTATATAAATATTTTGAGGACATCACATATTGTGCATTACTGTGCACTTGTTCAATACTCACCACAAAGTTACGAATTGATCTGTGAAAAATTGTTCCATCATAATAGTTCTTCTTGCACAATTTGATAAAGTTTTCACATGTTCGGGGTGTCTGAAAGACAAATGGAAGTTTTAATTAAGCAATACCTTTAGAAAATCAAACTGGCCATTACACTGTTTACAAGAATCACTTTTCATTTGTGCTTTACAATGAAACTATTATGCAAGACTTGAAGAGGAATGAGTCTCTGTGGGCAGAAAAAAAATTAAAAACACACTTTCAAAGTATACTGGAGAGACACACATTGTGTTAAATAAATTAAACCCAGGCCTTCCAATTAGCACAAAGGAGTGTTCAACACTAGCTCAGATAACATGAGCTCCCAGTAGATGTAATGATGGTGAAAGCAGGTAAGCTCAGACTTGCAAGTAACTTAATTCCAGCAGTGTATCATAATCCTGTTCCAAAGGGGTACCTCAAGCACTGAAAATGTTAATTTCCCAGAGTAAGACAGAACCTGACTTCTCTGCTCCACAATTTTGAAGTGACCACATTGAAGCTAACTGTGAGAGATGCTTTTGTCCCTCTTCACCACTTATTTTCAAAAATCTTAAAAAAAGAAGATGGTAAATATACTGCCAACTTCTAATTTGCTTTTACACTGCAAATGCAAGTTATTTGAATTTATGAGCCATGGCATTGAAGCTGTACCTTCTGAAAAACCTTTATTGTCTACCTAATTATCCTTCCGCTGTTATTGTATGGATACTCTTCTCTGCAATACTGAAATACCTTCAGATGTACAAATAAAAGTACAGAAATGGCCCACCTGGACAAGTTTTCCAGCCCTGCTGTGCATTATGTATATAGATGTATTCCAGTTTTACAAAAGAATACATCTGAGTAATCTGAATTGTTACAGGCCTTGAAAATATCCTTATTGTTGTATGTGCTTGGATGTAAAGCCCCAGCAAGAGCTGCAATGTCTATAAATGAACACACAAGAACTGAAGCCTCTTTCTGAAAGACACTGATTCACTTTGTATTGGTATGACATCATTCTTGGGCTGAGAGCTGCAGAGAGACAGAGTGAGACTGAGCCACGCAACCTGAAGTGACTTAAACACGATAAAATAAGGAAAGTCTGATTTACAGCCATTTAAGAATCTTTTTAAAAGCAGATCCATACAAGTATTCATCCAGAACCATACAGAAGTTCAGTTTTCTCTATCTTCTCATCTGTAACATAATCATTCCCATTACTCCTTATTTACACTGAAACATCTCTTCGTAATCCAAATGAACTCTACCTGTCATTATAAATTCTTTATAACGATTCCTTCTTAATTACTCTACGCAGATATACATGACAGGTGTCAGCTGGACCATAACTGGAATAATAAACTCTAACACAATCTTAAACCAGCTATTATCTCAGTTTTCTTGTATGATTCATTACTGGGTTACAATGGTAATGGTACCATAATAAGTTTATGGTAGAATGCCACTAGGACATATATTTTGGTAGCATCCTGAGGGTAACTTGTAAGTAAATATATTCCATAAGAATTGTTTTGAGCAATAGGAGGTTTTCCTACATTTAATAGAAAATTTGAAAATTTTCATTCAATTGGACATATATGCTTGAAAAGAATCCTTGTATGCGACCTGTCAAATAAAATTCAGTGCCTGAATAATCATTTGTGCAGTGTATGCATCCTTCATAAGATAACATCCTAACAGCCTTGATCCTAGCGTAGTGCTATTAATTATCACTCATGAAAAATGTCAGAAAGGATAAAAAATAAATTAAAAAAATTTCTTTATGAATCAGAAATGGAATCAGCAGCTTTTAGCCTAAGGCATTTTATCTCATGAGAACCAAACACTCTTTGGAGAGAGAGACGTAGTTAATAAGTTCTCGGGGGGAATACAGCAACCTGTAATTAATTTTTTAAGAAAAATGAAATCAGGCAAAAGACCAAGTCCCCCAGGAATACATACCAAACTGTTTTAAATTTGCACAGTTGATAACACAATACAGTTTTTATTTTCAAAGCACAATTTGTAAAATATACATCAAAAACCTGGCTCTAGTAATGCATTTTTTATGCAGGACCTATCCTGACTCTTCTCTCTAAATGGATTTTTAGTTATCATACCTTTTCCCATAAACAAGCTTTTCAAATGCAACTGCAGAAATATTTAGTATATATGCAACAATCATTTCACTGCAATGTTTTCTTTAAATAATACTTGCCACAAAATTGGTTCCCATGGTCACCTCACACATCATACAGACACATTTGGCAGGTAAACAATTCCTTAGCAACATTGCCATTACCTTTTACAGTGCTTTTTAGCAGACACAAATAAAAAGGTTTGCATTCAATCAGTAATAAACCCCAGTTTCAGTCATGTAGTTGATCTGAAATATCTGGCTCAGATTATCTGATTTATTCAAAGCAGTTAATGTCTTTGCCAAACCTCACACTGCCAAGCACATTTCAGAGGCTTTTTTAAGCACCATCCTGTCCAAAGCAGAAGAAAAAGGCTTGAAGTTTATGGGGAAGGTGTAGCTCTTCAGTCATGAAGTTAGGTTCTGCATTGACCATACAAACAAGGCCAGTTTTTGAAGTCTTTGTTCCAACTACAAAGACTGATGAGAACTATATATAAACAAACCCACTTTGTTATTTGAGTTAAGATCTTGTGGAAGATGTCAGTCTTGGAATGCAGAAGTGTCTGTTGCTTCAGAAACTTCCTCCACACCACTTGCCTCACACTGTTCCTGAAGGAGGAGGGGATGGTCAAGGCACCTGGAAATGCAGAAGTGCAGCAGGCAACACCAACACCCATTTCTTGTTGCCTCTTTAATGGTAACGGGCTCCAGATTCTTTTTACTTCTGGCAGTTCTTGTCTCAAACTGACCTCAACAGCAGCAGCTAACTTTTCCCTCTTTATTCCTTTTACATTAAGCAGGAAATGAGTTATTTTAATCTGCTGACTATGACTTAGTTTTATATGTAAGAAAGTCAAGGGAAAAATGTGATCTTAATTTGTTAACCTGTTGATCTGAAAGGCACTGACAGAAAAAAGGTTATGTTTTAAATCTACTGCAGAAAGATCAGAGTTTTAAATCTTCACAGAATGATGCAGTGGTAGTCCTTAGAAGTCAAATTAAAAAATTGTGGCAGGCTTTTCTTTCCAAAGAGTGTGGTAGGACAGCCCTGAGAAACCCTCCTTTTCTTCAGTCAAGTTGGGACTATAGAAGTGAATGAAGTGTCTCTGTATGATGTCCTTCAACATAAAGACATTTCTCTCTCCAAAGGACAAACCAAGAAAAAAAAAAATCACACCAAAGCAAAAAACCCTAAAAAAATTTATTTATACCAAAAATTAGTCTCCTGCTCCCGCTATGCTCCCTATTTATTTTGTAGATGCCAGATAACTGCCTTCCAAATGTTAAAAATTCACAGCAAAGACAAGTGGTAAAATTTTAATAAACAGTTGGAGACAGGAATCTAGAAAGAATACTTATCTCAGAAGGTGACACAAATGCTTTGTTTGGCTCAGATACTTGTGTATTTAATGGGACAACAGCCCGATAGTTTTCTAATTATGTTTATCTCCATTTAGTTACAACACTTAGTAGGTAACTCTATATGGAAATACTCTAGCAGCTACTAGGACCAAACAATTTCTGGGATTAAAGAGAGATTGCTATTCATAATGCCCATGCAAACACAACAGTGACAAGAGACTGATTGTGAAACCATAGACACTGGGAAAACACTGAAGAAAGGAATATAATCTAGAAAACCAAAGCAAAACAAAAAAAACCCCTTGACTCCTTACTATAAAGTTCTAGGAAAAATGCAGACCTTATCGTGTTCCACTTTTAAGTATTAACTGAGCCAAATTTTAGTTTCCTGTTTGCCAGCAAGGGTGGCTCTGAACCAGGCAAACCTCATCTCTCTTGCTGCATCCCGAGACCTGAGGGGTAAGACTAACCAAGTCAGGTCAGAATCTGATTTCTCAGTTTGCAGCTCTCCCTTCGCATTGGTTAAAATGGGTCGTTACATTGGTAAAAGTTACCTTGACTCAGAATTTGTATGAGGCAGCTGAAGAGCCAACCAGAGTAGACTAAAAACCTGCAACACTCCTGTTGCCAAGGTATGGGAGGTGGGAGAAGAGAAGAGCTTCTCAGTTGTTGCCATGACTGCAAGGAAGAAGGCTTTACTATGCGAAGAGCTAATAATTTCAAAATGCTCTATCCCTTGAGGATCTGCAAGAACCTTGGAGAGAAATTTCACACTAAGCATTCAGAAGCTGTCATTCGCGTGTCTGTATAATTTCCTTGTGCTAATTCCACTTCCCTTTTACTTCTTTTAGTCTCTCTAAATTGTATGGACTGTAGTAGATACACTAAACTACAGAGCCTCGATATATGCTTATCAACCCTATGTTTCAAAGTAGAAATAATTTGAAACAATTAAAAGCTTGTTCCTCACAAATAAAAATTGCATTCTACAGCCTTCATCGTATTGCACAAATGCCAGAATCCCATTACTAAGAGGCATCACCTAGTGATGGAAACTTCTGAAGCTTCAAACAAAGCCTGCTATTTTTCTTAACATAGATCTCCTTTAAAATGCAAGGTGGACTTTCTTTTGCTTTGGTCCATCCACCTACTTTTAAAATTTTTTATTTTTTTTACACAAAGCATTTTCATTCCTGTAATTGTTCATTTTAGCAGCTCTTCTAATGCATGAGCTCATAAAGGGCTGATTTAGTAAGGTTTAAGCTCAGTCCTCCCCATCCCTTTCAATCTGCAATCCTCATAGCCTATCCATCCCACAGGAAAGAACCTACCCTAATAAAAGCCTGACTTTATTTAGGGCTTTGTCAGAGACAACGGTAAGGAACCAGTTTCAGGAATCACCATCTGTCAGGTTCAACTGTCTGTACTCTCCACTAAGTCATGGAAAGATTCTGGAAAGAAAAAGTTTCTAGTGTGTTTCAATGCATAATACTACACTGGAAGGCAACTCCAGCTACCCTACTTCACCATGCACCAATGGATGAGGAGAACACTCCACTCATTTCAG